CCCAAGAGGAGAATGGAGGAGAAGGGATTGCGGCGTGACCATCCCCCCTGGGGGGTGATTTCTCGCTTTCTGTCTCTATGTCTCTCTCTGTCTGTCTGGTGAGCGCACGCGCCCTATAGCGAAAAAACCTCTCAAAATAACTGATAGTGTGAGACCTGGGGGAGGGACGGGCACCTGACAGGGGCCAGCCACAGGGCTGGCCACGTGGCAACCCCTTCCTCTGCAGCCCACCAGGACCCTGGGCACATAATCAGCGTGTTTTCAGGCTGATCAGGACAGGCGCTCGAGCCCAGAGGGACACGTGGCCTTGGCCCAGGGCGCTACGACTAAGGCGCGGAGAGCCGGGGAGCCCCTCTGCACCAAGTGCCCGGCACATGTGAGGCAGCGAACCACTTCAGGAGTCAGGAGCGCCCCAGAGCGCCCCTGAATTGGCTCAGGGTGGGTTATGTTTTACGGTACCCGTGTAAAAACACTTTCCATCCCCACCCTTTTATAAGAAAGTAACGATAACTGGTGTTTAGAGACAGCCTGTGGCCTAGGCCTAGTGGGTGAGAGAGCCAGACCCCACATGGCGACTGGTTCAAACCCTGGCCCCAGCGGCTTGAGTGGAATGCTAGGCACGAGTGCACATGTGCCAGGGCCCGAGGGTGCAGAGATGATGGGGCCGCAGGGTGACCACACCCCCCGGGGATACTCGCCTCTGGGAGTGCCCTCTGCCCACTTCAAAGAACAAAAGGTCCCAGTGCACGGGGAGCCGGAGGAGAGTGCACACAGCGTGCCCAGCCCTGCGCAGCCCCTCCCCAGCTGTGGCTGGGCCCTGACGCCCGTCACCCAGGCAGGTGTTCCTGGCCAACGGCCAACATGGCCTGCTCCACCTCTGCAGCCACAGCGTGCTCTGGGCCCCTGGGACATACGTGCGCAGTCCACGCCTGGGACATACGTGCGCAGTCCACGCCTGGGACATACGTGCGCAGTCCACACCTGGGACGTACGTGCTCTGGGCCCCTGGGACATACAAGCGTAGTCCACACCTGGGACATACGTGCTCTGGGCTCCCCTGGGACATACATGCGCAGTCCACACCTGGGACATACGTGCTCTGGGCCCCTGGGACATAAGTGGGCAGGCCACGCCTGGGACATACATGCTCTGGGACTCCAGGGACATATGTGGGCAGGCACGCGAGCTCTGCTCACTGCTGGGACTGTGCTGGGACTCACGGCCAGAGCGGGAAGCACCCACTCTTGTTAAACGGCATCTGTTTCTTCCCCGACCTGTGCCACTACAAATAAGGCTACAATGAATGTTCGTCTGTGAGCTGCTTTACACGCAGGTGGTTTACAACGAAGGTAAAACTGCAATAAACTAATTAACAACCTGTCAAATTATTAAAATAATTAAAATAAATAATTGACAGACTGTTAATAAATTAACGTTTAGTAAATTGAACATAAGTGCTCTTAAAATGCCAATGAAGATCTGCACCCTCGCGAACCCCCTTTCTGGTCTGACTAGGGCAGGCACCTTGCACTGCAGTCACGGGGGGACCTGGGACCAGGTGGCCCAGCACTCTCCCCCAGACCGAGGTTTGGCTCTACACGAGGCAACTATAAACTTACTTAAATAAAAATTGCAAAACACAATCGATGATAGAAGCCTCTCCGTGAACAAAACAGCGGCAGAGATGAGGGCTGGGCCGAGGCCATTCCAAAACCCAGAGTCACACAGGGAAGGGACAGACATGGATGTGCCTCTTGGGGGAGGGTCCACGGCTGTACCCGATTCTCAGGAAGGCCGAGACCCCAACCAGGCAGAGTCATCCAAATCCAACTTCCAAGTTCAAATGTAACAGCTCACCCAAAGGAGTATACCTACAATGTAAAAGCCTGCAGACTCACTGAGTACGCACCCAGGAAAATAAACACACCCAAGTCACTTGACTGAACCCACCGCTGAGACAGCATTCCATTTAGGGGAGACTTGGGAGCCGCCCCTCTGGTAGAAGCCAGTGAGTGCACGGAGGAAGGAGCTGGAGACTGGGGCCGAGACGAACCAGGCAGGTGCACTGAGGCCCTGCAGCTGGGCAGGGACACTGGGCCTGGGCAGAGACAGCTCTGCTTCTCTGAGACGCAGACGGATTTTTCTCCTAAAGTAGTAGGTAGCACAGACACTCGCATCAGACGCCAGCAAGTGCAAACTGGGTAGGCAGATCTGCAGACCGCTGCGGGCCAGAGGGCGATGCCCGTGTGAGCGCAATGCTGGTGTGAGCGCGATGCCCCTGTGTGTGATGCCCCAGTGTGTGAGCGCGATGCCCCGGTGTGTGAGCGCAATGCTGGCGTGACCGCGATGCCCCTGTGTGTGCCGCCCGGCAACTTCCTGGCCTCCCAAAGGGGCTGTGTGGGTTGCCAGGCTAGTTGCCGTAGCAATGCCTCTAAACACGTGTGTGTGACACTGGTTTGTTTCTGAATGCTGTAAATAGAAGGTAATGACATGAAAATCCGGGTTAAGGTCAGGACCAACCACTGTCCTGGACCCCTACCCTGACCACAATGCCCTAACCCCCAGAGGCCACAGTCATGCGACTTCCCAGCTGTAAAACACAGGACAGTCCTGGTTAAGTTCTCTGTGCAAAGCCTCCTCGGACAAGACTCGGCCAAGGAGTGGGAGGGTCTGCAGGGGTGAGCTCGGCACAGGTGAGGAGGAGTGAGCGCAGCACGGTGAGCCCAGCGGGGGTGAGTGAGCAGGGGTGAGGGGAGTGGGGAGTGTGAGTGAGCACGGGTGAGCCAGGGGTGCACTGCAGTCCACACACAGGGCACTGA